GCAATAGATTAGAAATCTCAAGGAAAAAGAGAGTATGAGCACCGTGTAATGCTTAAAATGTGGCTCAGGTCAGAGATGGGCCCGTTTTGCTAGATATCTACAACAAAAGCAGAATAAAAAACACAAACACAAGCATGTATGTTTACCATTCCATCATAGCTGGCATCTTACTAAATCACACGGTTTACGTGCACTTTCTTACATGTAACCATCCCATCTAGGTCCACCCCGCACTTGTAATAGTAACCTCTTTTTAGGTATTAGTGTCACGGGATCCACAGCCCCTGTTTAGCTATTTGTTTTTAAAAAAACTTCATATTGTATTCTTTTTTTTCATTTAGCCCGTTCAGGTACCCTATGGGCCCTTTTTTTTAAATCATTTAAGTGTATTCAGCTATGGAGCTATGACACATGACCGGTGCTATGTATACATGTTGGATGACTCTTTGACATTAGAGACACTCATACTCTGGATTTCATTCGCAAGTACCACTATGAGGTATGCTTGCTTACACAAACAGTCGACCCTCCTCCGTGAGTACCCACCAAAGGGACGTTTCGAAACCTTAAGTTGTCCAAGCATGCCTTCGTCATCCATGCATGCCAGCGCCACGAGATATGTGGTTGTGTTTTGCCGGATTTGAACCAGCGATCTACTGTCTCAAGTGGGATATGTGTCCAAGCTATCCAGACTCTACTTGGCAGACCGGCCAAGACGATGTACCACCGCACCATCCAACCATAGCGGTGTTTAAAGTGCCGCCTGCACTCTCGCAACCGAAGTCTTGGCACGCACAAAGCTCAATTTATAAAAACTCCTTGCCAAAATTCCACGCCCGTCGAGAATGTATCCATCCCTCGCATCATCTTGTGAACATGTCCTGAATCCTCTCACGTCAATCCCAATGAGCTGTCTCCCGGATTTGTGCGCTACGCTTTGTGTCCTCCGTCGGGTGTAAATATCGGCGTGGGCGTGTATTTGGTGACCGGCTGAGGCCAGAGAAGGTCGGCGAGAGGTGTGATCATTGGAATGAGGATGTACTAGGTCGTACTTGTAGACTTAATGAGGCTTTGGTAGGAATCGGACTCTTTGGGAGTGAAAAAACGACGTGGTGGAGTTATTTGAATTGTTGCCTCGCGGGCCAACTTGTTCGGTACTGCGAAATTTGAATGAACTTAGCTCTGGGAGAATATTTCACTCCCAGGTTCGTAGAGGGCACCACTGACAGGTGTTCAGTCTTGCCCTCCCCCTATGGGCCCATGCAGGCATATCTAGCTGAATATTTACACAGGAGGAAACCAAATTCGGTGAAGACCCCCCACAACTGTCTGTCTCGTGTCTATTTGTTATCTGAGGTCTCCTACAGGAAGTGCGATTGCACTGTTTATACAGTCTGAAATCCGTCTTATCCTTGTCCACATCGTCTCATCTTTTCGTCCAATGCTATTTCTACTTCTCCTGCAAGCCGGAATTGTTCAAACCAGCCTTTTGCCAGGATCCATTTTGTAATTCTCTCTATGTCATCTGGGCTGTTCATCATTGCCGCAAATGACCTGTCTTTTGCCTTTCGAAGCACCTCTCCTCTTCCCATTGCCCACTGAGGACACGCCAAGACCATATGTTTGACATTTTGAGATGGATATCCACACTCATATTTTGGATTAATCACTCCGGGGACTTTCCTTCGATACAGATAAGAACTGAGACCAATGTGCTCACTTCTTATCTGAACTGCAATACTGCTTTGGGCCCTACTAAAGTTCCGGTGGATATCTGAGGGTGTGTTTCTATATGTAATCCTTTTTCTGCCTGTTTTCTCATCTGTAATAATATTTGCGGCTTTCCAATGTTCAGGGTCTGCCGAAGCTCGATGGGCAGATAGTATCTCGTTCGCTAGACGTGTCCATGAGTTTTTCCACTCCTGGAACGCGTCCATCTTACCGGCTTCTTTTTGTCTCCCTTTCGCATTCTCCAGGCCGCAAATTCTGGTCCATTCTTCAATGTCTTGCCTTCAATTCTTGGCGTGCCTGTTCTCGGTTCCTCTTGTAGTCTGCTTGACCTTGCTGCACATAGATATTATCGATCTCATGATAGGTAGTCCTTCTGATAGTCCGACGTGTTGGACCCTCCTTTGTTTCAGGTATATATCTATCGGGAGAACCGAAGACTCGTGTTCCAGGACCCTACTGCTGGTTGAGTTGTATGACCCCATAATAAGCTTCAAGCATTTTCGTTGAATACTTCGCAGTGGTTTGACTATCCTTTCTGGTGTCCTACCCGTTGGCCCAGCTGCAGCCCATATAGAATGCCCATAAGTCAGGGCTGGTCTCACGATTGTGCTGTACAATAGCTTTGACTTCTTGAATGTTGCACCCCAAGTTGACTGCGTCAATCGACTTATTAACTACACTTTGGTGTGTAACTTTTGTTGGATATGCTGTACATGGGAGCCCCATTGGAGCTTAGGGTCGAAGTATATACCATGGACTCCAAGGGAATTAATATTGTATTCATCTATTTCGCTATGACAATTTAACTTTACAAAAAAATCAAGCATGTAGCATAATTCAAACATCTTTGCAAATTAATCTTCTAACAAAATTATAATAAATTCTTCCAATATTTTTTAATACAGTACATCTATTCCTCTCCTATTCTCAATGTTTTTTGCCTAATATATCCCCTTTCTATCATGATATTCACCTGGAAGTTTTCAAAAATTGTAGTAAGGCTTCCCTTCCTCTTTTAGTTCTTAAAATTATTGGAAGTATTCTTTGCTAGAAATCAGCAGATGCAAGTTTTTGTTGTATCCTAAATTTTGTGCAATGAAGGATCAAATGCTTTGTTGTCTGCTTTTTTGAGTGACAGAAATTACACCTATCATCTTTCACCTTTCCAATCAGATATAAGTATGCTCTTGTACTTCCAATTCCAGCTTGATCTTGAAAATATACAGACTCATCTAGTCTTGTGTGACCCTTGAAATTAAATGGCTTCAGGGAATAATTTGGTGTATGATTTCGAGCTTGGGTCCTGTAGTGTGACTCGCCAGTTGTTATGTGACAGGGAAACAGAGAATGGGCTACCGTAATAGGAAAGGCTGGAAAACACAGGCAGGTGCACAGACGCTGTTCATGTACTTTTCAATCTCATCACCTGCTGAGTGTAACAAATGACTGTGTGATACTTTTTATTGTGCTACTTAGGTCGTAGACTATCTAGCACGTTGGGCTCCTCTCTCTCCCAGGCCACACTTTGTACAATGCTCCTTGCCCCTTATGTTCCATAAAAGATCATTGATATATTCCCCTTGATGAATAGCCATTCAGCTCAGTACTTACCCATGGATTTCGGCCACCTTTTCCCGGAACCTTCCACCCCAAAAAAAAGTTAGCAATGGAAACTGCGTGAGCGGGAAAAAGCCTCAAAAAACCTGCAACCCCAGCCAGGCGAGGCCTAAACACCGGGTCCACATGAGGTGCGCATATTCATCTATATCTCCCTTCTTTGTAACAGTCGAGGCCGACTTGATCCAATCCGCCATCTCCGTATCGGGTGCTGGGTACGCTCCGGAAACTCATCGATGGCTTCTCCTCTATGTTGAAGGGTTGGTGATGAGAAGGGCTTCGATCCTGACATCTGATCTGATTGTAGTTAGCTTCATGATAGTGGTGATAGGGGGTTGTGTTAAGAGATGAAGACTATACAGACCGCAAAAGCGATTAGGAATCTTCATCGAAGTGAGGACGACGGTGTTACTCAATCTCGGCTCTGCAGACTCTACAGTGAGAGCTGGAGGTTTGTAGAGGACGCCACTGACAGGTGTCGAGAACAATCCCTCTATTCAAATTGGAATTATGTATATTGATTTAAACGTGATGTAAAGCCATTCTACCTTTGATATATCATATTCTGTCCTATTCTTGGACTTATTTCAACATTTAAGTAGTATATAATCAAAGGGCAAATCACATGAAAAGCTGTAAAAATAAACTACAAATTAACGGGGCTGCAGAAACAGAGCCAATATTATTTCTAATAATTAAGGTAGGGACTGATAAGCGCAAATTATTTCAATATATGTACTAGTTTCATTTGCGTGGTTCTGAAAGCTAGGTTATATAGCGCGGGCGTGAGAGGATATCCCAAGTAGAGGGTAATTTATGACGAGCTCCCTCTAATACTGCTTGACTAGGGGTACCAGGCTTCTACAGGGAGCGTGGCACTAGACAAGGATAATTCTTGCCCCCAAATTCGACCACAAACGGCTTGACGGAGTGATAACAGCCTACTGACCCCGGCCATACCAGCACCAGAAAATGATCCGAAATACAATAAGGATGGAAAATAAACTGACGGTCTTGGCTGAGATCAAGTCAAGTAATATGTACATTTTTCTCACGGAGGATCAGCCTGAGCATCGTCCTTGCGAGCGATTTGTAATTGTTGTTGGCCCCTAAATAAAGCGTGTGCTTCTAAATTTGTGACGCACAAACCATTCATAAATTACTATGTCCTCTGCATCTTCATAAACCTAGGACATATGGATCGTATCTGATATGAATCAAACTATGAGACTTATCCCATCTATTTCCTGTCTCGTTAGTAAAGTCACAAAGCTTTAGACTGAATGACTGGACGAGTTCAAAACATTGCATCCCTGAATCTGGATTCTAACCAACTAACTACGTGAATGATAATTCGACATTTTTCACATGAAGGTGTTTCAATATGCTGTTCGTTGATGATGTAGCTATTCTCTCGATATCATTTTGCCCATGATTATGGAGGCTGTGTGTGATCTCTACTTTTTCACGTACTATTACGCTATACCCTACTGTCTGTAGAGTAACATAGCAGAATATACGTAACTCCATTATTTCTATAGGTTGAAGCTAGCCGCTTCAGTTTATAATTTTGGATAGATGCAGAGTCCTGGCTGAAGTGAGGAACAGGGGGACCAAAAATTGAATGGTACTTTAAGAATGTGAGTTTTCAATTAGAGAAACCTCCCACGCTTGCCGCTGCCGAATCCATCTTTTCCATGTCCAATGTTGCCTATATCAAAAAAGTCACCGAAGTTTATTTTTCTTTTTTGTCCAGACCCCTTTCCTAGTAATGCCGCAGACCTAGATCCTACACGGCCTTGAGGACCACCCCTTGTCCGCGATAGTCTATGTACCGCAAAGTTGGATGCCGATAGAGGAACATGTGGCGATGTCGATGGTATTTCAGCATTAAATATTCTGGGGTTTCCATGCTCATTATCAGCTAGAACAATATCGGCATCCTGAGGGTAATGTTGAGCTGATTGGAATGAGAATGTCGTGTGAGGAATAGAAGAATCTGCACACTCGTCACTTGGAGTAGTGACTGTCATCGTGGGGGTTTGATCTGATTCTACTGGCGCTGCATTTTGTACGTTCGTAGATAGAGGTGATGCTCGAGTAGAGTTATGAGACCTAGGGAGGGCTGGTGATGATCCGCGATCAGTTTTATCACAATCGTCGTCGCTCTCGTTATTTTGGGAAGCTGTATCACGCCCTTCTAATCTTTCCGTAGCCCATTTTCGAATCCTCCATCCTTCTCCATCATCGAGACCGATATTTTCTTGATCTAAGAACAGTACAAGCTCTTCCAATGCATTTTGGTATCCTTCTGAACGAACCCCGCCTTGGTTGACCGCTGCGCTTTTGTACAAGTTTGTCACTGATAAAGCAGCCGCTTTAAAAGCGGCAAGCAGTTGTTCAGGAGGATCTGACTGTTTAGGAGGGGCTGTACCCGGAAGTGATGTGTTGAGACCCATCATCGAGTCCATCGCAGACTCGGTTTGCCTTCCCTGTTTGATCAGTGGAATTTAGAGGAGGGGATAGCAAATTTCGCACTGTGCCTAGATAGTAATAAGTGCTATGATGAAACGATTACACTGGCGTCTTGAATCTGATCGATGTAGAGGTATGCCTGAGGGAAGTATTCTCGGATTCTAAGCGACAAAAGTTTTAAGGTTGGATATAAAGTCGTCTTATTCAATGTTGAGTATGGAGATCAAGGTTAGGTCAGATTTAAGGCGGCAGCAAGAGAGAGCACAAATGCGGGCGGGCAGGCAGGCACTAACCACGTTAGTTGGGGGGCCGGGCTGAGTCAAGTTGATTTTGCAGAAAGCCAGACGCGTCAGATAAATGTGGAACTAGACGAAAGCATTTCCGATTACGCTTGTTTTATTTGCCTTTCTTGTTAAATTTCGCTATATGATTCACATAATTTCTTGATAATACTTATCGTCAAGAGCTAGCGATAGCTATTGCTAAATAATCTGGAATTGAATGAAGTGCTCAAACTAAAATTTGCGAAATGGCCCCAGCACGTTCAACGCGGACGAGAGCTGCAGAGTTTGCTGATAACAAACCTCAAGATTCGAAAAATTCCGTGTCAAACGTGTCCACTGAAGTTGGTTCTGCAGAGGCATTGGTAAGACTTATGTTTACATTGGGATAATCAATTCTCCACTGTGGCTGAATTTGATTTTATTTCGAAGCTAACAACTTTACAGGATGTAGATGAGAATGTCGAACTCTTAGACGAATCTGATGCTGAGGTAAAGAGTAATAAATCAAGCAGTGCTACTGAACAGAATTTACGTGAGGATATCCGCAAAAAACGGTCGGAAGCAACTCAATTGCGACGTAGTACTCAAGGAAAGAAACATGATATTTTAGGGGAGTCTAAGGCAAGAATTTAAACCCGACTCTGCTTTATAACTATCTCTCTAACATTTATTTGGACCTTAGGAAGATGACTCTATCAGACGATTTCGATACCTGCTTGGCCTTACCGATCTCTTCCGACATTTCATTGAAACAAACCCGAACCCTCGCGTCAAGGAAATCATAACTGAAATTGACCGCAGAAACGCCGAAACTGAGAAAGCAAACAAAGGACGAGATCGACAAGGCGGTGCAGCTGCTGAAAGAAGAAGGAGAACCGAAGCCGAAGAAGACGCAGAACTTCTCAAGGATGATAATATCGGATGCTCAGCCGAGACAGTATTCAGAGACTCACCCAGATTTATTCAGGGTGGACAGATGCGAGATTATCAAGTTGCAGGTCTTAACTGGCTCATATCACTGCACGAGAATGGAATATCCGGTATCCTTGCAGATGAAATGGGTTTGGGTAAAACTCTCCAGACAATCTCATTTTTGGGATATTTGAGGCATATAATGCATACATCAGGACCCCATCTTGTGATAGTTCCAAAATCTACCCTTGATAACTGGAAAAGGGAGTTTGGAAAGTGGACACCTGAAGTGAATGTTTTGGTTCTCCAAGGAGCAAAAGAAGAACGTCAAAATTTAATATCCGAACGCTTGATAGATGAAGATTTTGACGTATGCATTACGAGCTATGAAATAATTCTGCGTGAAAAATCTCATCTGAGAAAGCTCGCTTGGGAGTATATCATCATTGATGAGGTAAATAGTCCTCTAACCTTATTTTTTTCCAGATACGAGCTGACCTACAAAGGCACATCGTATCAAAAACGAAGAATCATCACTTGCACAGGTCATACGATTATTTGATTCTAGAAATCGTTTGCTCATTACAGGAACTCCTTTGCAAAATAACCTTCATGAGCTATGGGCCCTACTCAATTTCATACTACCAGATGTCTTCGGTGATTCCGAAGCTTTTGATCAATGGTTCTCCGGTCAAAGCGGAGATCAAGACACCGTAGTGAAGCAACTACATCGTGTCCTACGCCCGTTTCTATTGCGAAGAGTTAAAAGTGACGTAGAAAAAAGTTTGCTACCAAAAAAGGAAATTAATCTTTATATCGGAATGTCTGATATGCAAGTAAAATGGTATAAGAAGATTTTAGAGAAAGATATTGACGCCGTTAATGGGGCTGGTGGAAAGCGAGAATCAAAGACTCGACTTCTCAATATCGTCATGCAGCTGCGAAAATGTTGCAATCATCCTTACCTTTTTGAAGGTGCCGAACCCGGCCCTCCTTACACAACAGACGAACATCTTATTTACAATGCAGGAAAGATGGCAATGTTAGATCGACTGCTCATCCGACTGAAGAAACAGGGGAGCCGTGTTCTCATATTTTCTCAGATGAGCAGGCTGCTTGACATTCTTGAAGACTATTGTGTTTTTAGAGACTTTAAGTATTGCCGAATAGATGGTAGCACAGCACATGAAGATCGTATTGCTGCAATCGATGACTACAACAAAAACGACTCTGAAAAATTTGTTTTTCTTTTAACCACCAGAGCAGGTGGTCTTGGCATCAATCTTACCAGTGCTGACATCGTCGTACTCTTTGATAGTGATTGGAACCCTCAAGCCGATCTGCAAGCGATGGATCGGGCGCATCGCATAGGTCAGAAGAAGCAAGTTATTGTATACAGGCTTGTTACGGAGAATGCGATAGAAGAGAAAGTATTAGAACGCGCTGCCCAAAAGCTTCGTCTTGATCAACTTGTTATCCAACAAGGTCGAGCTCAGACTGCTGCAAAGGCTGCTGCTAACAAAGATGAACTTCTTAGTATGATTCAGCATGGAGCTGAAAAGGTTTTCAATTCTAAAACAGCTACGGGAATACTTGCTGAGAAAGGCTCTGAACTCAATGATGATGACATTGACGATATTCTAAAGCATGGTGAACAGCGCACTGCTGAACTCAATGCCAGATATGAGAAGCTCGGTATTGATGATCTACAAAACTTTGCATCGGAATCAGCGTACGAGTGGAATGGCCAAGACTTCACGAGTCGTAAAAAAGAGATTAATATCAGCTGGATTAACCCTGCTAAACGCGAGCGAAAGGAACAATCATATTCCATGGACAAGTACTACAAGCAGGCACTTTCAACTGGTGGTCGTACAGCTGACACTAAACCTAAAGCTCCTCGTGCACCGAAACAAGTCACAGTGCATGACTATCAATTTTTTCCTGGCACCCTCAGAGACCTCCAGGATCGTGAGACTGCGCATCATCGAAAAGAGATTGGTTACAAAGTCCCCTTACCTGACGGCCCTGAAGATGAACTTTCCAATCGGGAAGCAGAGAGAGCTCTTGACCAGGCTGAGATTGATAACGCCACTCCACTTACAGAAGAGGAACAAGAAGAGAAGCAGAGACTCTCCCAGATGGGATTTGCCGACTGGAATCGGAGAGATTTTCAACAGTTTATTAATGGTTCAGCTAAATACGGACGGAAATCATACTCAGCAATAGCGGAAGAGGTTGATCACAAAAATGAGCAAGAAATCAAGCAATATGCAAAGGTCTTCTGGACTCGCTATACCGAGGTTGCTGATTACAGTAAATATATTGGTCTTATTGAAGCCGGAGAAGAAAAACTGCGGAAAGTAGATCATCAACGGAAGATGTTAAGAAAGAAAATGGCTCAGTATCGAGTGCCTCTACAGCAGCTCAAGGTGAACTACAGTGTATCGACTACAAACAAAAAAGTCTACACAGAAGAAGAGGATCGATTTCTACTCGTCTCATTGGATAAGTATGGAGTTGATAGTGAAGGTATTCACGAACGTATTCGGGATGACATCCGGAATAGTCCTTTATTCCGATTTGATTGGTTCTTCCTCAGTCGAACCCCCGTAGAAATAAGTAGAAGGTGCACTACATTGTTAACTACAGTTGCGAGGGAATTCGAAGAATCGACTAGTACCAAAACATTAAATAGTAATGCTAGCGGAAAACATAAGAGGGAGGCTGATGATGATGCTAACGATGAGGATTGCAAACGTAGCACTGGTCCAGCCAAAAAGAAAGCCAAAAATAGTGTAAAGGTAGTACCAAATCATTTCTTTCGCAGGAATTTAGAATCAGCTAATTGAAGGCAGAAAAAATTACTGGAAAATTCGAAGGTCACCGGGGGAAACCGTAATTCTATTGAAAGGAGCTCACAAGCAGCAAATGGTGTATCGAATAGAAAGGGTCGGACAAGGGGCAGGAAGAAATGATCTCAAGGCTATGAAGACGTAACACTCATGCCACGATAAAGAAAGAGCGAAGGCGTTTGAGTCAAATTTTCATCCACACACAGATTCACATTCACAAGCAGGTGAGAAACTTTAATCGATGGCTTCGTCACATGATCTCCGATTGATATTTTTGCTCCGGAGAACCAGTAAGCTATTGCGAGCTAAGATTTTTAATTCATGGGTAAATTCTAACAAACCAGTCTCGGAAGATGGAATTGTGCGCATTATTTCTTAAAGTCTGTCATCAACCTGACAAATTCAGGATAGATACTTTATATTTCCTATTGTATGGGTAGTCAAATGTAAAATTATACAGCTCATGCCTAGATAAGGCAAGAGTGGTAGTTCTTGTGGCCTATTTTTGCGGGTAGGATTGCTCCCAATTTTCGCGTGCAATAATAATACCAATATGATATTAAAAGGCGTACGAGTTTGGGATAGAATGGGCTAATAGACTCTTTATTAAATAACTGTTAAATATATCTGTCATGATTCTTCGTGAAACATGGCATGCACTGGATATGGTGATCACTCATCTGTTCCTTCAATACAGACTAAATGATCGGGCGTTTAATAAAGGATACTGAAAGATGGATATGTAAAACAATTTAATTATACTTTATCGCGTTTCCATGTATATATTTTGATAGATCACTATTAAAACAGTACGATGACTATGCGACTCACGGCCCTACTACATATAATTATGCAGAATTGAATATTCAAGCGGAGGGCAAGACTGAACACCTGTACGCGGTGTCCTCTACGAACCTGGGAGTGAAATATTCTCCCAGAGCCAAGTTCAGTCAAATTTCGCAATATCAAAGAAGTTGGCCCACGAGGCAAAAATCCAAATTACTCATCCACTTCGTTATTTCGCTCCCAACGAGTTTGACCCCTATCTTCGTCTTATCGAGTCTACATGTACGACCAAGTACATCCTCACTCCATAGACCACACCACTCTTCGACCTTCTCTGGCCTCAGCTGGTCACCAAATACACGCCCACGCCGATATTTACACCCGACGGAGGAAGCAAAGCGTGGCGCACAAATCTGGGAGACAGTTCTTTGGGATGGACGTGAGAGGGATCAGGACAAGTTTACAAGATGATGCGAAGGAAGGATATAACCTTGAAGGAAGTGAAATTCTGAATTTTGGCAAGTAGTTTTACGAATTGAGCTTTGTGCGCGCAAAGACTTCGCTTGCGAGAGTGCAGCTGACACTATAAAAATAAGCAAACGATGGAAGGTGTTGTGGTCCGCCTCCTGGTGGTGTTCTCCGGTATAGTTTGAGTAGCCTGGGCACCTACTCCACTTGGGAAGGAGATATCTCAGACCATATTTCGCGCGGAGAAAAGTTGAAAGATGATGGAGGCATGTCTGGATAACTCAGGGTTTTTGAGATGTTTCCCTGGGTGGGTATTCACGGATGAGGGTTGACTTGAGGTGAAGAAAAAGCCGCCATAACTTCGCAGTGGTACTTGCAAATGAAATCTGAGGCATGAGTGCTCTACTTTTAAATTGAATCATCTATTCTATACTTTTCTTTGATATTGTGTCATAGCTAGATAGCTGCATACGCAATTAAAATCTGATGCAAAAAAAAAAAAAAAAAGAATATTCAAGCTTGAGTCCTAAAATTATGTCCATTCCTACTCTACTCGCCAGATCGAGAGCTATACATTGTGCGTGGCTCACTAATACAGTTTAATCGCCTACGCGAGTCTTTAATATGTCACATTCGCAAATAATGATCCAGACATGTTTGGAGTAAAGTGGTCTTTTATCTAAAGTCAACTTTACATACTTCCTGGATTGACACTTGTTCTAGAAAAGGTTGATTACCGGCTTCCAATAGTTACTGTTAGATGGATTGTTATTTTCTTGACATTACCAAGGGCTAACATGTCAGAATTTCCCATTACTCTGAGGTAAGCGGGTGGCGTATACTCAACTCTTGTTGGCGGTGCTTCCTACAAACCTCTATCTCTACCGAAGAGTCAGTAGGGCCAGGATTGAGCAACGCCTGCATCATCACTTCGTTGAAGATTCTCAGCTGCCCTGGCGGTCTGTATCGTCTTTATCTATCAGCACAACCCCTTGCTGACTAATCATGGAGCTAACCATGATCAATCCAGTTTCTAGGGTCGAATTAGCACTCATCGTCCACAACTCTTAGTCAGGGAGGAGAACCTATTCGATGAGTTTTAGAAGCGTACCGAGCACCCGATACGGTTGTGGTTAATCGGATCAAGTTAGTCTCTATTTTTGTGTTTTCGCGGTCCTAATGTAAGGCTCTTTTCATAGCTAGATAGTCTGCAGATGATTTGTGAAATAAAAATATAGCCTAAAGCTCTAAATCCATTATAGGTGCAGGGCCAGCGGGGATTTCTGCTCAAAAGTCAAACTCATTCTCATTAGGTGAAATTTCACAGAAGGTGTTACGGCGTTCGCAAGTGATGCTGAAGATTGCCGTCTCCCAAAAGTGTTGTAGAAATAACTTTAATCTTAAATACCAAAGAAGAAAGTATAGACCTAAGCCGGCAACGCCGAATTCTTCACCTTCCAGTGGTGCCGGTGTAATCGCTCAGTATGCTCTGCATATCTAGGATAGCCAAGAAGAATCACATCCTTCGCAACGGCAGCTTGCTAAGCGTGGTCCAGTCGATTTCAATTGACACATGGGATAGGTTCCGTTCCCGGCACGATAGATCAAAAGTTCAAGTTTGGGTCTCCTCTATTCAGTCTTCTAACAACTTCCCGATTGAGTTTGACTGGGAGGACTTTACGACTCACCAACAACCATCCAGAATGAAAGGTAAAATTCCTTTCGCTTTCAACCTTACTAACATTGTGTGCAGGACTGGGCAATTGCTCGGCATCATTTTGGACAAGCACCTCGACCGCGACATCAACATTCTCAACTTTTCGACACATTCCAAAGACGGCGCGAACGAAGAAGCCTCATTCAGACAACGAACAATGTACGACAAAAGCTGGGGCGCCGATGCCTCGGTTTTGAGCTCTCGATTTCGGAATTTCAGCCCTCTCAAATAGGGGTTGAGCGTAATGCAGGGGAGAATTTGGGAAGAACAATATGTGATTTTCAACAGGCTGTTGGCACAGTTGGTCTAGTGCTGGATGTGCTTTCTAGAAGTGGTAGGTTGGACTCCTACACGGCCTGTTTGAGGGGGGACTACGGCTGCTCGTCGTGAAAGAGTACAGGAGGAATTATTGAGGTTTTCACACGAAGGTTTTCACTCAATACATGGTCTTAGGATCATGGTGAATGCGTTCCTACCTACTCGACCCGATGTAACTAGCGTGAGGCACGTATTTGAAAAAGTCAGGCACCGGTTGGGTTTTGCTAGAGAATGGAGGAACTTGTATTCACGATGTTCTCCATGCGTATCATGTCCATTGGATGGAGGGTGTAAGCCTGGCACGATAAAATAAACTAAACTAAACTAAAGTTTAGAACTAAATACATCGCATTACCCATTACCCTTATTTACAAGAATAATCAATCAGTGCAATAGCCCCAGCTGTTGCATCGTCATCGACAACGACCTCCAATCCAGGAGAGTAACTTCACCCAAGCCTGCTTGGCATTGTAAATACAATGCAAAAAGCAGAACAACAACGGAAAGAAAGACTGGAAATAGCCCAGAAATTTCTAGAATTAATCGACTCCTGGGCTAAGAGCAAAGGAGAGAAACAAGCAGCAGCAGTTGTTACGACTCTGCTGGAAAACATCACGCCTGTTATCATTGCCTTTGCAGTAGATCAGGCAGAAGCATCTAACTTTCCAAGTAAGAAGCCCCCCACCATGACAAGCACTCCAAAACCAGTCGCGCCTAGGAAAAATACAGCTGTTGAGGATCAAAGCCACGCTCTACCCCAAAAGCCTCAAGAAACCAGCTCGTCCTGGGTGACAGTAGCCCGCAAAGTGGCCAAGTTACCGACACCACCAAGTGTGCAAGTTCCGTGAAGACCTGCTCCATCAAGCCACCCGAAATCACAGAAAACCCAAAAGGAGGACAAACGCCTGTTCCTTCGATTGGGGGGAGATCACCACTGGCACAAGCTCTCGCCAGTTACGATCAAGAAAATTATAACCGACAAGGCTGGGATAGCAGCCTCAGCTATCACCTCCTTGTATCCAGTCAGGTCGGGGATCGCTCTCGAATGCGCATCAGATGTATTGAGAGATACAATCATGAGGATTGCACCTTCTCTATAGGAAGACAACACCGTGATTGAGGAAGCGTCCAAATGGACATCATAGATCGTACCTCATGTGCCATTGTACACTAGGACGCTTGAAGGCAGCATCCCAGTCACCAACGACATGGTGAAGAACGAGTACCAAGTAGTATGTGGTGCCACACCAATCCAGGTCAGACTCACAGAAAAAAAACTTAGCCAAAACTTAACGAGCTGGATTGTTCATTTCCAACAAAAACCAGCAAATGTAAAGTTTCGTCTCTTTGACAAGAGCGGACCAGCAATTCCCTTCTCGCGCCGAAGACCAATCAAGCAATGCCAACATTTCTGGGGATTCCACACAACGCGCTCCTACACCCGGATCCAAAAATGTGGACGACGTGGGGGAACCCACGAAACATCAGAGTGCCAGGCCAAGGTGTCGAAGTGCTCAGATTGTGCGGGACTCCACTACTCAAATGAGGTTAGCTGTATGGCCCGGCCAAGACGACAAAACGGGATTATTCTGCCCCGTGCCCCCACAGAATATTACGACCGACCTCAGGTTGACACTAGAAGACTCCCTCGAAATATAAAAGAGTAATTGCTTTGTATTTGGACCTAAAGCTACGCACAATAACTAAAAGAAAAGACAAGGGGAGAAAGAGGGCTGCAGCCTCGCTGGGCTGAAAACTCCACCAGCTCGCTTCCGGGACCAACGCTTACTCAACCAGACTCCACATCAAGTGAAACCATAAACCTATCATCTGT